CCCGCGCCCGGGTTCCCCAGCCTGGCCCTGCAGCCTATGCCCCCCCCATCTCCCGGGGCTGCCCCTTCTTCCCCTGGGCACCCCCTCACCTCCAGGACCTCATCCTTGAGCACCGACAGCTCGTTGGCGTTGCGGGCCGTGAAGTCGTAGAGGATCTTGACATATCTGGCCATGGCTGGCGTTGGCGGGGGGCCCCTGGGTAAGCAGGGGGGGGGGGGGAGCCGCCTGATTGTGCTCTTGAGGTCGTAGCAGAGTGCTGCGGCTCCTCAGCCGGGAATGGAAACTGTGACAGACCCAGAGCGCTAGGGCCCTGCGAGCTCAGCCGGGAATGGAAACTGTGACAGCCCCAGAGCGCTAGGGCCCTGCGAGGAGGGGGGTGGACAGGAGGCAGGCGGGCTGCAGGGGATGTGGCCCCGCCAGGCCGGTTCGGAGGTCTCCAGTTTGGCCGCGGGAGGTGGAGTGGGGGGCTGAAGCCAGGTAGTGCCTGAGGAAAGGCAGAGTGACAGCCCCCCTGGCTGACCAGTGAGGGCCGAGACGTTGGGGCCACAGCCCCCCTGAATACTGACGGGAGGCCTGCCGGACCCGCATCCCATGAAGTGTGGGCCATCCCTGGCTGCCCGCGGCCCGGCTTCAGCAGACCACCCCTCTGTCAGCCTGGCCCTGACCTCCAGGGCACCTCCCTACCCACATGTACTGTAGAGCTGAGAAGGTAGGGCCTGGGCAGCCCCTGGGGCCCTGCCAACGGCTGCCAGGACTGGGCCAGGTGGGCAGACCAGGGGCTGAAATGTTTCTTAAAGAGTGGTTCTTGGCCAGGGACGGTGGGCACCAGGCGACAGTGTGGGGCCAGGGGAGGGGTATGCTTGTGGAAAATACACATTTCTGGCTTCTCTTTTTGAAAATGAATCTTTTCTTTTTCTCTTTTAGGTTTTTGTCATAGGGCACATGCGTTCACCAGAGAGAGACACGAGGAGAGTAAGAAATAGCCCCCAGGGGATGGCAACACTGCAGTCCCTTCTCCTCCGTTCTCTTGAGATCTGGGGCATGATCTTCAAAGCGCCAGGTCTGGGGCTGGGGCTTGAGCCACAGTTGACCATGCAGGAGTTCAGTGTCTTAGCCACTAGCCACCTGCTGGCCCAGAAACTGAATCTTTTTTCTTTTTTTTGGAGAGATTTTCACTGTAGGGCGCGTGCGCTCGCCAGACAGACAGAGAGAGACATAGAGACAGAAAGCGAGAAATCACCCCCCAGGGGGGATGGTCACGCCGCAATCCCTTCTCCTCCATTCTCCTCTGGGGATCTTGGGCACGCACGCACACGCGCCCGGCGTGAGTTTTAAGCCACCGGGTCCGGGACACGAACCGTGGTCGACTACGTGGGAGTCCAGCGACATAGCCATTACACTAACTGCTGGTTCCCAGAAATGGAATCTTTTAAAGCTTGCCAGAGAGCAAGGGAGAAGCAACCCCCAATGGGGCGTGACCACACTACAATCCTTCCTCCCCATTTCTCCGTCCTGGAGGATCTGGAGCGCGCACTGTCACACACCCAGTTTCTCAAGGTACGGAGGTTTGAACTGCATGGCCGTGTGGGCTTACGCTCCCCTAACCACTAGGCCACAGCACCAGCTCCTGAAACTGAATCTGGAGGTTGGCTGGAAAACATGCCCTCTGGCACCCTAGGCCAGGGTGAAACCTGAAAGGAGGAAGGGGCAGAGGACCCTGGTCTGCCCCGGCCTGCTGTGAGAGACCCCTGTGGAAATGCTGTGTGCGGGGAGGCTGGACCCACCCGGACTCCAGAGGCTGCGTCTGCGTCAGCTCTAACAGCCCCAGCTGGGTGACAGTGTCTGGGGAACCCACTGAAGTTCAGTAAGTTTCCAACCTTAATTCCAAAACGAATGTGGACGCGCAAACAGAAAAAGAGTTAGTGTATTAGGGTCGTGAATTTATGCGGGTTTTTTGACATCTTTCCCTCAACAACGGATTGTGAAGTAGAAATGAAAACCCGGGTTGAATTTGGGAGCGATATTTTGAGCCACACAAGATATGTGTCACCACCTGGTGGCAGCATACCCACACTAGCGCCTCCATGCTTTGGGGAGTGTGGCCTTCCCTCACTGTGAGGGGCGCGTGCTTACCTGTGGGTGTGCGGGGTGCTGACTGGTGGTAGGGCATCCCCCGGGGCTGTGGGCTCAGAGGCGAGGCTGTGCTTTGGGGAGTTTCGTAAGGACAGTCGGCTCTTGGGAGTCAGCTGTGGGGAGAGGGGACAGCCGGGCTTGGAGCGGGGTGGGGTTCAGGTGAGGAGGGCAGGGAGAGGTGGGACCCGGGAGAGAGGGCGCTCAGGACAGGGGCTCCGTGAGTGCGGGCGCTCATGCACCACCAAGGAAGACCGCCGGGCGCCCGGCCAGGTGGGGCCGTGGGGCTGCCTCGGCCGGCAGAGGCTGAAGGCACAGGCTGCCAGGGTGGGCAGAGGTGGGCTGGGAAGTCAAGCTCTGTTGGCGGGGCGGGGGGCGCGGGGCGGGTTGCTGGTGCTCTGACCTCGTCACTGGGGACAGACGCCTGCCCCTCCACCTCCCAAGGAGCCTCCTGCAGCAGGACCAGGGGTGGGCCACTGTGGAACTTGGGCACGTAGAGAGGCACCTGTGGTTCTCGTGGCCACTCAGACCTGGAGGGGAGGTCGTGGGTCAGCATGTCCCACCAGAGCTGCCCAGCCGGACCCTCACCCGGCACCCAGCCCACGCCCTGTCCTCCATCACTCCACCCTACAGTACCGGGGCCGCGTCCAGGTCTCCCCTAGAGTCTCCCACAGTGACATCTCCTTGGGAACCAGGTGGCCACGCAGGAAGGCCACGGCATCCCGTGAGAGTAGGGGGCTGGAGACGGAGCGCGCAATGTCTGGGCCGCCACAGGTGTTGATGATCTGGGGCACAGAGGGGTTCAGAGGGCGCCATGGCCCCCTGGCACCAGCCCTATCACCCGCTCACCCCCTGCAGCTCCACGGCCATCCCTTTGTAGAGACCCACGCCAGGGTGCCCAGGTGGGCATTGCTTCCCCACCCTGAGCCAGGGACCAGCTGTCCCGTCCTGGAGCCCCACCTCCCCATGCCCTCGGCCCAGCCCCAGGCACCAGGTCCAGAGGCCCGAAGAGGAAGTGCACGAGTTCGGCCGCACTGGGGTTCTGAATGTGCTTCTGCAGCTTCGCCTGGGGTGAGGGGGAGCCAGTGAGTGGGCCACACCGGCCATGGGGACTGGGGGCCCTGGGCCTTCCCCTCCTCCCGCCCCCCTTCCCACAGCGGAGGCCAGGGTGTGGCCACGGGCAGGCTGGACTCACGAGCAGATTGATGGCCAGCTTGGTTTTCTGGAAACAGTCCACGAACTCGCCCTCGGAGGGGGGCCGCGCCCGCAGCGTCAGGACGCCCTCTGGCACGGGGGCAGGGTGTGAGCCTGGCGGGCCTGGCTGCTGTGTGATGCCCCACACAGACCCGACCTGCCC